CTGTGCACAGTATAAGATGAGCCATCTCACACAAAAAAAGCAAGACTGAAAGCAAGTAAGCAAGAGTAAATTAAAAAATTAATTTCAGACAGTTCATTTAAAATTATGCAATAATTTTATAATAGAATTCAAAGTACATGTATACTTAAATAATCACTCATGTGAGCATTAGTTGCAAAACATATTTACCTAAATTTTAACAAAGTACTTTCATTTTATGTTGAAAGTGTAATTTTGCTTAAGATAAAAGACATAATTTTCAAATTTTACTTTTCCAATAATATCTATTTTGCCTCATTCCATAAAAGCAATTGTCCACAAATGGCTAATGTGAATGGTGAAAAAATATGTTACAATGTGAATTGCTAAATCTAACACTAATTTCAAATAGCTTTCTAAATTGTCACCTTCCCCCCACTCCATTTCTTAAGAAAATTCATCATAAGAGAAGATTGATAGTTAACTAATATTTGCTTTATATTTCTCAGAGGAAGACACAACTGAAGGGAAATGCCGTACAGTGAGAGAAGTGTCTTTTGAGTGTAACGTGTGTGAAATTGTATTCTTTGGAAGAAAAGCAAATTGTCAGCAGGATTGAAAGTAAAGATTCTTTGCTCAGAAATACTCTAAGTAGGTGGTTACTTATCTCATTGTTTTCTACCTAACAGAAACCACTGAACTAAAGTGGCTGCATGAAGGAAATTTCACTAGGAAATTACAGTTTCCATCCCAAATCAGGCCAGATGGAATGGGGTGAGAGAATGGAGGTTAGACAGCAAAAACATGGCAATGGTAAATGGTGAGGCTTAACCTCTTGAATATTTGGGTCATATCCTGGGGAAAAAAAAACCTGCCACTGAGGAGGAAAATCTTACCTCAAGAGCAAACACAAAAACTATAAAATGTCATATCAAAGCCAGTGTGTGACAGGAATAGAGATAATGATTGATTCATCTGTCCCAAATTTAGTCACAGGCTGTAACCCAAACAAGAAAATACAGGAAACACAGGAGATAAAACTTGAGAAAAAAAAGTTTAAAAATATCGCTAGTGAGCCAAAAAATTGAGTACAAGACACTAAAAAGGAAGGGTCTCACTATATTGTCTACAAACACTTTTCTTAAGTTTTTTCTTAAGGGTATCTTTAAACAAAGAATATAATTTGATTCATTTACATTAAAGTTATACTAAAACTATGTTGATTATTTCTCCATCTTACCTCCATTATGTTTCGATAATATTGAATTTTTAATGTATTTTATATATTTTGTATTTTCAAATTTTTCTATATTTTTCATAAGACATTATCTTAAAATCAATATTAGTATGGGAATTCAGAGAATGCAGAAAATTAGAGAATACTGTTACTTTTCACATACTAATATTAGGAAAACATTGCTAAATACTAAATATAATATGAAAGACTCTGAAATAAATTGAAATGTATATTCCTGAATGTCATAACAAATATAGTCTTCATTAAATATTTGGTTAACAATTAGTTGTTCAATTAGGAATATTTCAAATGTTAGTACTGAATAAAATATTGAAGTTTGTCTTCTAATACAAAGAAGAACTTTGGGGATTCTGAATGGGGAGCATAAGCCACACTCAGGGGTGCTCAAAAGCCATGCTCGGCTCTATTCTCAGGAGTGACCCCTAGTGGAACACAGAACCACATGAGGTTGGTGGGACATTAACTCTGTACTACCTTTCTGACCCTACAATAAGAAACTTGTAGCTCACAATAACTATATTGTGATATTTTACAATACAGGTAATTTAACCACATTTTAGAATTTATTACTTAGATGAAATCTTATTCAAAATGCTAAATTGTATTTTTATGGTGCAGCAGTTTATGCTGGGGCCAGAGAGAGAGTATAGTGGGTAGGACACTTCTCTGGCATATAGCTGACCTGGATTTGCTACTTTGGCATGCCATAAATTACCCTGAGCATAGAGAAAGGCTGTAGCCTCAATACAAAACAAAATTAAAACAAAAAAAAAAAGTTTATGCCATGAAGTTTCAATAGTTTTTCTGGAAAACAAAAGTTTGCAGTCATTTAGACTACTTTAATAAAGGGACACAAATGTGGTAAAAGTGAACAAAGGAAAAAAAGAAGAGGAGTTCCGGCTCTTGATGCACTTGATTTTCCCATGTGCCAATACAATATTAATATAAATTAATGGTTAAACATAGAACAAGATGAACTAGCTGGTGAAATACAAAGGGGAAATCTCTAAATAGTGCAATCAGAGGGCCTTCAAGAAGAAAACCAGAAACAACCAAAATTTGGTTTGGCCATTCCACTGGCTCTGGCTAGGGTACGATTTATGTGATATTTCTATTTATCCTGTTAATATTCACTCTATTTTTACTAAAATGGAAATACACCTAGATAGGCCACTATGAGGATAAATAAAATAATGTTTATAAGCATTTAATCCCATGTAGCAAATGGTATATTATATCAACAAACTATTTTAAATGTGTAAATTCTGCACTGGAAAAATATGAAGATTTTATGACTGAGAAGGTAAGGGGGAAATGTTACTGTTAAAATCATGTAAAGTGAGATCCAGAATTTTCATTTTCCTGGTTGGTGTTGAATTAAGCCCAGGACCTCAAACCTGTAAGACCCATATTCTACTATTGAACTATATATATCCTCAGCCAGAGATTCAGAAATTTTTATTTTTTTGCTCTTTGGGTCACACCCAGTGATGCTCAGGGGTTACTCATGGCTCATGTACTCAGGAATCACTCCTGGCAGTGCTCAGGGGACCATATGGGATGCTGGGAATCGAACCTGTGTCGGCCATGTTGGCTGTGTGCAAGGCAAACGCCCTACCTGCTGTGCTATCACTCCAGCCCCGACATTCAGAAATTTTTAATAGCATTCCTGACCAAACTGACCCAAATTATTTGCTAAAATATCAGATTGCATTCTAAGTTCAAACTTCCTGATCATATTTTACTTCAATTAAATAAATCAACCCACCTTTAAAACAAGTAACCGCATTTTATTTGATGGCTTTTACTTTGTGATTAATTTATTTTAAAATCATGTTACATTTACTAAATAGTTCCCAAATTATGTGCTACTCTTTTAACTGAAATATTCTACAGATAATATAAGGAAGCATAAATATGGTATCCTATGCAAATCAAACCAGTATATAGGCAAGTGGCTACACCTGCGTTTATAATTCTTACCTAATGAAATAATCAAAGATCCATTTTAATAGAATAATACAAACTTCCAAAGCAATCAGAAACTTTTCAGGATTAAAAGAAAGCCTTTAAATATGGGATACTCAGGAATCAAATTGCTATCTCTGAATATAACAGAAAGGAAATCGGTGGTAAACTATAACCTTCCATGAAAAAAATTTAAGTTTTTATTTATAAGGAAGAAATTTAAGTAGATGTAATTTCCAAATGAGTTTGGCAAAGGAACTTGAAGTAGCTATACAGAGAAAAACACATACAAAACTGAAAAGGCAGCTGTGAAATCATTTAATTTTTAGAAAATATGAAAAAGTGATATTTTAATTCAACTTTCATTTTTGAAAAAAATAAGTGAAGTTTATTCACATAATTAAATTTTATTTAGAAAACTAAAATTTATTTACATACTAAATAGCATGTAATGCTGTGATCTATTCCCGACTATACATTTTTATTCATTGTCTTTAGAAACATCTATTCTACATATTTCACAAAGATCTTATTATGCAACTCAAGTCTTTATATTTCAGTCTTTGGAATATAACTTACGAATAATAAGTTGTCAATAGAAGTTTTAAATTTTCCTAAGTTTCCTAGAAATAACATCGTAAGACATATAACCTCAGTTCATATTTCAACAAAACCTAAATTTTTATGCTTTCTTAAAGTAAGCATTAGAGTACTTGCCTTAAGGAAGTGCTATCACTCTGGCCCTTGATGCTTTTCAATAACACATAAAAATAAACCATAGAACTTCACTAGATTAACTTCCTTTTACGAATAACTATAAAAAATGCAACCCAATTTTTTCTTGATTACTTTCATTATTGCTTTTAAGTTTCATTTCCTGATGGACAGACTGCCATTTTATTAGAGAATACATATATTCAGCTTGAACACTGCTGTTTCTTAAAGAAGCAGGAAGGTGACAAAGCTAATTCTCTTAGCACAGTGAATTAGCTCGTTGCCTGATACTTTCTTTATTCTGGATGTCAGAGGAAGCTAGAACCTGGGATTTCTTTATGGATCTGGTGTTTTTCTATTTTAGAAACAGTTGCATATCAACTAGATGAATATAGAAACTTCAGAGTGATTTTCAATAAGGAGTGCTTAGTGAATAATTAGTCGGATCAAACATATTTTTTATTTGAGATGGTGATTAAAGCATTTCAATTTTGATGATTTAGCCTTTTGTGGTTATTCCTAAAGAATATTATTTTTCTACATATCATGCCATTTCTGTTACTTCAAGGACTCATTGAGATGTGAGGTCATAAAGTATGCAGTCAGCCTGAGAAGTGTCATGCTTATATAAACTGCATTTTCTATTTATTTTGTTCTCTCTGGATAAATGTTTCTAATTCTCAAAATGTTGATAGCACAGGAATCTAGATAGAACGGTTTTATTGAAGTCCAAATGTCTCGATTTCTATGCCATCATTGGTGTCACAAGTAAGTTACTCACTTTCACGTATTTGCTTGGACTTGGAGGAATGCAGTTTTGGTAATTATTTGTTTCTACTAAGTGTATATTTTAGTATTTTGAATAGCTTTTGAATAGGCAGTGCTGTTCAGAAATGTACAGAAAATAGAAATCCCGTAAGATCGGTCAGGTGATATCTAATTCTTTTATGACCCTATACATTTCAGATTCACCAATTTCCATATAAATTGATATCAATATTTTTGTTTTCAGAGAATATTTTGTGTTCATAGAAGCAAAACAAAAAATAACATTTTAACTAAAGTATAGAAAAATACATACTGTAAGGGACACATTCATACTGCACTTCAAGGTATTTATAGGTTCCAGGGCATGGGTCTGGAAAAACATCAGGGCCTGCCACCACCGCACACTGAGTTCTGTTATTGCACCTGCATCAAAAGAAAAGGAAAGAATTAATAGGTATTGACAAAGTTAAATCACCGACGTCAATACTAATTTTATTTTTGCTCTTGTTACCACAGATTTAAATCATGTTTTGGCTGATAAGAAGTTCAAAATCATTCAAAAATATCTCCAGTCTGTTTTATTCTTTTCTATAGCAAACATTTTTAAAAGTATATTTCAGTATCAACAATTCAAATTATCATAATTATTTAATTAATTTATCCACAGTTTTTTTTTTTTAATTGAATCACCGTGAGATACAGTTGCGAAGCTTTTAAGTTTGAGTTTCAGTCATATAAATGATCGGCCACCCATCACTCCACCAGTGCACATTTTCCACTGCCAATGTCCCCAGTATTTCCCCTCCCTATCTCACCCCTCCCCCTTCCTCAACAGCAGACAATTTCCCCCATACTCTTTCTCTATACAGTCTCTCTACACAGTGTGGTTTTGAGTTAAAATTCAAACACTGCTTAGTAAAGTAAAGTAAAGTAAAGTAAAGTAAAGTAAAGTAAAGTAAAGGCCCTCCCGTTGTTCGTCGATTTGCTCGAGCGGGCCCAGTAACGTCTCCATTGGAGATTTTGTTGTTACTGTGTTTGGCATATTGAATACATCACGGGTGGCTTACCAGGCACTGCTTAAGCAACACAAACTGATACATGGAACATTATTAATATGAAGACAAGAAAGATTGTTACTTGGTAAAATCATCTCTACCATGACACAAATAAATGAAGCAAATATAACTACAGTATTCTATTAAACAGCTGTTAAATAAATTCACTGATTATCATGATATTCACTTTATAGGCATTGAAAACAGGGTGTTAGAGGCTTCACACAAATATGAAAATAAAAATCAGAAGCAGCATATTTAAATCTTAAACTTTATATTTATTCTAAAGAATTATAAGTGATTTTACTAAAACCAAAGTAACACCATTTTTATAAATTTATTTTCATGTTCCATGAGACCAAATTATCAAGACATAATGATAAGATATTTACCTGTTACCCAATTTTATTTTATTCCATATATTTTCCTCTTTACTTTATCATTTAAGTATACACCTGATAATAGCTATTTTTTCTATAAAAATCACAGCAATAACTGAGTTTACACTGCTTTTGTTTATATAAAATTCTATTCTGATTTATATGTTTATTTCTTCAAAGTGTGTGGTGAAAACTGCGTGAGGGTAAGTACAAAAACCCATGTCTTTTTTCACTCGAGGCAGCTTATTCAAATGAGGTTTCTTCGCAAAGTGAAAGTACTACTGGAGCTGAAGCAACAGTACAAGAGGAAAGGCACATGTCTTTCAACTAGCTGTTCGAGGCCAACTCTAGTTCAATCCCCAGGTCAGAGTTAAGTCCTAAGAACAGAGTCAGGAATAGACTCTGAGCACTGCCGAGTGTGATCTACCGAGCACTGTTCCTCCTCCAAAAATAAAATACTGATCATCTAAAAAGGTTGAACAAACTAAAATGACAAATGACTGTATATTATGCCTGTGAAGATGTCACTATTTACATCAATATTACTATGCAGTTCTCTAATAATGCCTTGAGAATGAAATCCAATGCTCATAAAGTGGTCATGGATCAAGGATTTGAAGTGATCATGCTAGATTATGTAAATTAAATATAAGGTAAGGTAAAGGTAAAGGCCCTCCCGTTGATCGTCGATTTGCTCGAGCGGGCCCAGTAACGTCTCCATTGGAGACTTTGTTGTTACTGTGTCTGGCATATCGAATACTCTCGGTAGCTTGCCGGGCTCTCCGAGAGGGGCGGAGGAATCGAACTCGGGTCGGCCATGTTGGCCGCTTGTAAGGCGAACGCCCTACCCGCTGTGCTATCGCTCCAGCTATAATCCCATCATTATTCACTGTATCACTATCATCCCGATGTTCATTGATTTGCTTGAGCGGGCATCGGTAATGTCTCTCTTCGTCCCAGTCCTGAGATTTTAGCAGCCTCTCCTTACTCATCCTTCCGAGCACTGCCATAGTGGAGGCTCTTTCAGGGTCAGGGGAATGAGGCCCATTACTGTTACTGTTTTTGGCATTTCAAATATGCCATGGGTAACTTGCCAGCCTCTACTGTGTGGGCAGGATACTCCCTGTAGCTTGCCTGGCTATACGGGAGGAAACACTGTATTCTTAAAATCCTTGAAAGTGCTTTTTAAAATGTTTTCAGGTAATAAACTAATTTAAACTTAAACTACACAATTAAAAGCAAGTCATAAGATGCTGAGTGAGTTTAACGTATCATGAATTTTATAAATTTTATGAATTTTTCAGCATTATTATATTCATACAAATAAAGTCAGCTACGATCAATTCACCATCCAATAATTCAACACCTACCAAAATGCATGCTTCTATCTAACAAATAGTCTAACAATTATCAATTCACACAAAAGAAAATTGAAATTGTTCTTAAATATTGTGAATGTTAGTGATTCTGTAAGTCCCGAATACCATACTTAATGTTAACTAAGGATGAATCAAGAATTCCTCTAATTGATGAGTTCATACCAAAATGAGTCAATCTACAGGAGAAATGTAGGACAAATTTCTGGAATAAAGTTTTAGATAGATATATCAAAATAATGATTACCTAAAGGATGACTACACTTTGGAAGCAGAAATTTAGACCTTCTTTCATAATTTTTTATGAGTTGTTACCTGGGGAAGTAAAATGAAGCTTACTATTTGATTAAAAACTACTGAATTACCTACAAAAGCAACTATTACTTTCTAATATTACAAGAGTTGCTAGAAAATTTTAGAGTTAGAGAAAAACTGTCAAAGACTAATTCATTATCAGATACTAAAGTTAGTCTATCATATTTGAATAATATATTTCATTAGCACAGCGGGTAGGGCGTCTGCCTTGCACGCAGCCAACATGGCCTACCCGAGTTCGATTCCTCCGCCCCTCTTGGAGAGCCCGGCAAGCTACCGAGAGTATTCGATATGCCAGACACAGTAACAACAAAGTCTCCAAAGGAGACGTTACTGGGCCCGCTCGAGCAAATCGACGATCAATGGGGGGGCCTTTACCTTACCCCTTATATACTTTTTAGTACCAGGACTTGATCCTAGAGAATGCATCTTACTTGTGAGGAATGTGTTCTAGCACCAACCCACATGTCTAGGCTTGCATTTCTTTTACTACAATAGCAAATAGAAGCATAGGAAGCATGTTTCTTTTAAAAATATTACTATATTTTTCACTTCTCTTTGGGACAAAATAGGAATGATCAATTCCTAAATATAAGTAAAGAAATAATAGCATAAAGTTATCTATTCATATCCATAAAGGTAAAGGTAAAGGCCCTCCCGTTGATCGTCGATTTGCTCGAGCGGGCCCAGTAACGTCTCCATTGGAGACTTTGTTGTTACTGTGTTTGGCATATCGAATACTCTCGGTAGCTTGCCGGGCTCTCCGAGAGGGGCGGAGGAATCGAACTCGGGTCGGCCATGTTGGCTGCTTGTAAGGCAAACGCCCTACCGCTGTGCTATCGCTCCAGCCCTATTCATATCCATATTTTTTAAAAAAATCTAAATGCATGACATTCCATTCAGTCTATATATAATCTTACAATGGAAGATATGTTGCCATTATCAATCAAGTCTAAGTAACAGATGCTATCTAATATGTTATTTTTTTTACAAAAACTATTGGTAATTAGCACACAAATTAAAGTGACGCTATTTGATTTATAAATATGTCTTCAGAAGACTGACAAGGAAGTTTCACATAATTATAATATTAGCAATATGATATAGAATCAATCACTGCTAACTTATTCAATCCCAATACAGCTCACTGAAGTGCAATGACAAAACTATGTAAGTATGGTAATGAAAGTCATCTCAGATCAAAACAGTTCCCCTATTTTCCACAACAGAGTGCAGCATATACTAAAAGAATGGCATTTGTGCATATATTCACATTTATCTAGTTTTTATTTTATATAAAATTACCAGCCCATAATTTCTCTGCTCAATCCATTACCTTTGTTTTTACTGTGTTCACAGAAACTTAAGTAAAATATATATGATATCTTTGCTTACAACCTGTTTATAGATGTTTACTTATATCCCATTTGTAGATGAAGCATATGACAAATAAAAATAAATATAATTTTAAGATGCTTATGGAATAGACATAAAATGATGTTACTAGTTGGTTCCATAGCTCCAGAAATGTAATAAGGTGCATTTATGGTAATTTAAATAACATGCTGTCTACTCATGTGTTGGGCTGGAGTGATAGTACAGCAGGTAGGGTGTTTGCCTTGCACACAGCCAAGCGGTTTTAATTCCTTTTTCCCTGTCGGAGAGCCTGGCAAGCTAACGAGAGTATCCCGCCCACAAGGCAAAGTCTGGCAAGCTCCCCGTGGCATACTGAATATGCCAAAAACAGTAACAAGTCTCACAGTGGAGATGCTACTGGTTCCATTCGAGCAAATTGATGAACAATGGGAGGATAATGCTACAGTGCTATAATGGTGGTACAGAAGCTGAATCAATACAGTGGGTAGGGTGCTCACCTTGCTTAAGCCAAACCAAAGTTAGATCCCCTCTGATTCCCTTAGTCTGTCAGTAGTGTCTCCTGAGAACAGAGCCAGGATGAAAAACTGAGAAACTCTGATGTAGACCCAAACCAAAATAAATCAAAATAAAAATGGTGGTACATTAAAAAATAGAATGCAAATTTTTGAATTGTTTGTATTATATAAGCTGTTCATATATAATAAAAGCGATAGCACAGCGGGTAGGGCGTTCGCCTTACAAGCGGCCAACATGGCCGACCCGAGTTCGATTCCTCCGCCCCTCTCGGAGAGCCCGGCAAGCTACCGAGAGTATTCGATATGCCAGACACAGTAACAACAAAGTCTCCAATGGAGACGTTACTGGGCCCGCTCGAGCAAATCGACGATCAACGGGAGGGCCTTTACCTTTACCTTTACCTA